CGGGGGATACGAATAACTGCTGAATTATACGGATGGTAGGACCTGGTAGGGTTTTGGTAGGAAGTGGTAGGAAACAAAAACACCATATACAGGACCGCAGTAAAAAGCACTATTTTGGATCCACGACTCGAATACATCGAAATATAGCATCAAGTTAACATCAATGTTTGTCATAATTTATGACAATGTTAACTATCGAGAAAGTACATGACTTTGTCGTTGAATTGCTCAGCTACGGCTTGTCTGGGCGTGATACAATTAATACGAAAACTGAAGAGATGGCTGCGGGCTATATAACGAGGCGTGATGTGTGGCGATTGCACTTATTTAGCATGCGTGAAGTGACCTCAAACATGCCAAAAAACTGAAATATAGCTTACTTTGGGTGTGATTATATCCCGCAATAAGCATCGTAACACCGTCCATGCTGCTCTATTTCGTAGTATCAATGCTGCTGTACATGCTATCATGTTCTTGCGTTGATCGGTGATCTCTGAGCCACGGAGCAGCACATTAAAGACGCATTTTGGCGAAAACTACAAATATTGCGTGAAAGATGACAAACAATTATTGTCCTCTTGCGCTATAATTTATAGCATACATTGCTATGTTATGTTATAATTTTCTACATTTAAATGTCATATTTTTGAAAGTTATGCAACCGTTTTGTGTGGAGTCAAGCAACTCAGCGCAATCGATTGAGGACGATGCCAATCCTTCAAAATGGCAATTAAAAGTAGTGCACGTTGCTTTCTTCCTCAGGCTGAACTCGATTTGATTCTAGTGCGTTGTATGGTGATGATGAACTATGTATATACTGCCATTTCGTTTGAGGATTGTAAACTTGATCAAGTCCCGCAGCCTCCAGATAAATTTGTCACTTTCTAAGCGATTGTACTCGCATTTTGATAATGAATTAAGGATAACTTTATTATCTTGAAGTATGTATGTGTCGGAGCATTGAAATTCTGTCTTAGGGGTAAGCGGTTACAACAGGCTATGTGTACAGTACTGCAATGTGGCCAGTGTCGGCAAGGTTACTTCAAACCTTATCTTCAATGACTATTATAAATGGCTTCTACGCTGATTTGGCATTTTTATTCACATGACGGAATGAAACACTTAATTGGCCTTTCGGACGGCTATTCTACACCATCAGAAATCGCTTAAACGGATAAAGCATAAATTGGTTAACTTAAGTGTAAGTTATCTTAGAATTACATTAGTTTTTTACGTTAGTCCTATAATAGTATTTAGTACCTGGACGCGCTGGATGTAACCGGTGCGCAATTTTGAAAAGACTGTCTCTCGCTCCCACCGCGGCAATGTCCGCAGCGGAGATTCAATATTGAATATGGTGCAAAAAATGCACTGGAGGGGGCGGGACCAAAACAGCGAGCCTCAAATGAATTGGTAGCATACCAAGCAGCTCGATCGCACTGGCTCTTATAGCCACACTAGGGGCTGAGGACTTTCGATTGGCCTTTTGAGGAGACGCGACAACTGGGAACGCATGGTGTAGTGACTTCACTGTCAGCTCAAAACTGTTTGGTAATTTTAATGGACCTGACATTGAATAGTTTGAAATTTTAAAAACCAATTAACATAATAATAAAACATTGCTTCAAATATGACTTGAAGTTAGTCATAATTTATGGTCAACTTTGTTAGTTAACTAAGAAAGTACGTGGTTTTGACATCGAATATCTCTCTGACGGCTTGTCTACGAGCGGGGTAATGAATGTAGATATTGCAAACTTAGTTGTAGGCTATTGTTCAGAGCTAGAAATATGGCGATTGCAACATTGTAGCATGAGTGATGAGTCCTCAAAGTAGCAAAAAAGCGCAAATATAACATACTTTGTAAGTAAATACCTCGATGAATATAGCTCATAGCGACCTCTATGATATGTCATTATGTAGAGATAATGCTTGTGAACACGCGAATTGAGTCTCGGACATTGGCTCATGTTGTGTGGGTTTGAAAGTGGCTGCCTCAAATATAACATTCCAAGTCGATCAACTTTGTTAGCTATCTTTGCTTCCAAATATAACATCACATAACATCGTTTTGATGTGTTGTTTTAAAAAATTCTATTCACGCCGTGATAAAAATATAATGAAACGGTTTCTTGTTTCGAAGAAAAGTGCCTTTCCATGGACGACCAAATCACTAGCGAAGATGCGACGACGAAGGTTTCTGTCAACAATCAGGTGAAGTGAGAACTGATCCGATCGTACAACATTGCGATTATAGGCATCAGCTCCATCGAGTTCGTTGTACGAATATGATCATATATTTCCCTCACCCTCCGTTAAAGTAACGTTACTTGAATATGTCATATTTCAATTTTAGTTTTACATGAGCTTGCCCGACTGCTTGGCAGTCCGCGCTTGGAGTCAGGAAACCCCTATTCCTAAGTCCGACCAATAAGAAATCAAATGTCCTGTCTTAACCGGATTTGCAATTAGGGTACTTTACTGACGGTTAACTCTTGTGTAATGCTCGCTACAATCCGACACGCCCCATACCAAACTGCCCTATCCGGAAAATGACAACGAAACTGTTCAAAGTACCAATCGTAATCTTCGTCCCAGATGACACACTTGGCTGGAGTGAAAAGCAACCGCGTTCGCTTGGATGACGTCGAAGCCGAGGCTTCATACCATGCGCTGGAGGATGCGCCACAGCCTTCCTGCACAACCTCGGCACGGCCACAATGCCAACGCCCGGTTGACGACTCCCTTCCACCACCAACACTGCCACCGCACTCTATCCAAGAAGCAGTGGAATTGTCCGTGCAATGTTTTGACATCCTGCACAATACGAGCTCCAAGGCGGTCAATCCTCCCAAGAGTCACGTGAAACTTCCCCGGTCCAATGCCATCTGCACGTCGCATTACACGTGGTGGAGCTTCGTGCCCGTGTTCCTGTATCGCACGTTTCGCAAGCCGGCCAACTTTTACTTTTTAACGATCGGGTTTCTCCAAATGATTCCTCCGATTTCCCCCACCAACGGAGTGCCGCTCCAGTTCCTGCCGTTGTCGATTGTCGTCCTCATTGACGGCATCTTCGCCGCCATCGAAGACTACCACCGCCACCGCGCCGACAACGACATGAACGACACTCGTTGTCTCAGGTATAACGTCACCTCCGGCGCCTTTGAGACCGCGGCATGGAAGGACATCGTCGTCGGCGACCTCCTCCAACTGCAAGACAACGACGTAGTGCCCGCAGACCTCGTGGTCGTCGCCACTGACGGTACAGTTTGCTCATATATATATCGGGCTTGAGTGTGTCTTGGGTATACGGTGTAGGCCAAGTGGCGGCGGGGTGCTACATCGAGACGAAGAGCTTGGATGGCGAAACCAACTTGAAACTGCGCGAGCCACTCCTGCAAGCTCAGTTTGACAACGTGGCGGAACCGGACATCGCGGCCATCTTGAACGGACTGGAGTTTGCACACGATCAGCCGCCCACTCCAAACATCCACGTGCATCGAGGCGCCGTCCACTGCCGGATGCCTAGTACGAACAGTGGCAGGGTCACGATATGTTGAAGTCACGCTATCCGTAGACACGCTATCCGTAGATGCGGAGGACAACATGGTCACATTGCCGATAAGTGTGCAACACACTGCGTGGCGCGGATGCAAGATCCGCAACACCCAACGCATCTGGGGCGTCGTGGCTTATGTACGAATGACGTTATCACGATATGTGTCATGATGACATGCCATGTCGTGTAGGTGGGGGTGGACACGAAGCTCATGCAAGGCCTGAAAATTCAAGCGATGAAGCAGTCGACGATCGACAGCGTCACGTATGTCACATATACATATTATGACGTGAGCACGTCATTGTCAGCATGACTTGTGTAGAGACGCCCAGGTCATTTTGCTCGTGGCGATGCTCGTGGTTTTGTGCGTCGTGGGGGCGTCGTTGCACACGACGTGGAGCACGCCGGCCCTTCCATCGTACTTGGGCAGGTCCGCCCCAGACAGTCCGTTCATTGCATCCTTTTTTTACTTTCTCATTACGATGGCGTCGATCTTGCCCATCACGCTCAACGTGTCCATCACCGCCGTCAAGAACCTGCAAGGGTACCAATAGCTTTGCTGTATGTATGATAACGTCATCTGTTGCAGGTACTTTATGACTCGGGACAAGGACATGTTTGATTCTGATCGGAATATGCCCATGCAAGCTCGGAACAAAGCCCTGAACGAACAACTCGGGTAGAGTACACTTATTCCATCCGATACACTTGTGTACCTTCATCATGATATATATATATATATATATATATATAAATATAATCTGTAGACATATCACGCATATTTTCTCGGACAAGACTGGAACGATCACATGCAACAAGATGGACTTTCGCAAATGCACCATTCGCGGGGTTTCATATGGCAACGGCACCACGGCCATTGGACGGGCCGCCGCCAGGGCCCAATGTACGCCAAACAACTCGACCGACGCCACAGACGAAGGCAGTCACGACACTCCAGTCATTCCAAACGTTCGTTTCCAAGACCAGCGTCTGTACGCTGACTTGGATGGCGCCTCGGGCCCAGGTATCTATATATATATATATATATACATGTATATGTTGAAATAATTGATTTGAGGATGATGGGGACAACTGGTAGAGCAAGCAAAGGCGATTCGGTGGTTTTTCACACACTTGGCGCTATCCCACAGCGTGTTGCTCGACGCCCGCCGAGAATTTGCAGCGTCGTCGCCAGATGAGCTGGCGTTGGTGAGCGCTGCAAAGTACTTTGGCTTTGCTTTCGTGGAGCGGCATCCTGGGTCCATCATCGTCCAGCTGGCCCAAGACGGATCCTCCGAAACGTATGCAAGCTCAAGTAGCAATCTTTTCGAGTTGGGAATGTTGTGTGTACGATGATGGGGCTGTAGGTACTACCTGCTGGCTGTGTTTGAGTTTACAAGTGCTCGCAAACGCATGTCGGTGGTCGTCCAGAGTTGCAACGCCAGCCAAGACGTCGTCGTCCTGAGCAAAGGCGCGGACTCGGTCTTATGGCCTCGGCTACGCTCGGATGCGTGGGTGGAAGCCACCAAGTCTCATTTGCACGGATTTGCCACGGAAGGCCTGCGCACCCTGGTTATAGGTCTGTTCTGTCCATTTGTGTGTCTTATGCAAGTATCCCTAGCATCCAAAACGATTGCCTTGGACGAATGGGAACGCTTTTACGCCGAGTACCAGCTCGCCCAAGTGCACAGTGCCGAACGGGTGGAGCAGCTGCAGGATGACATGGAGGACAACCTGACGCTCTTGGGTAATATATACTAGTAGTATATATATATTCGAATGGGATGATTGATGTATATATATACATTGGGGGTGTAGGCGTGACGGGGATCGAGGACCGACTGCAGGACCGTGTGCCAGAAACCCTCGAGTTGCTGTCCAAGGCTGGTATTGGGCTGTGGGTGCTCACGGGAGACATGCAGGAAACCGCCGTGAATGTTGGCTACGCCTGTTCCCTACTCACCAACGACATGGACAGGTGGCTTAGTATAGTATATTATACAATCTGTGACACCGTTCTAGGTACATTGTAAACGCCCACACGTGCCCCACGCGCATCAGCTTGTTGCACCACTTGGACGAGTTGTACAATCGCTTGGTGGGGTCAGCCTCGTCGTTCACTTCGCACCAGGCGGCCATAGTCATCGATGGCACGTCGCTGTCACTGCTTTTGCACGGTATGAAGACTAGTTATAATAGTATACATCTCCTCCTATATAAATATATATATATATACATGTACTAGGCAAGAGTACTCGTACCGATCCAGACTACACCTCGACTTCCACCGACGCGCTGCACTTTCTCCGCGTGGCTCTGCTTTGTCGGGTGGTCATCGCGTGCCGGTGCTCGCCGTCTCAAAAGGCGCGGCTGGTGGAACTGGTCCAAGTGCACTGTGCCGACGCCCGGACGCTGGCGATTGGCGATGGAGCGAACGACGTGCCGATGATCAGCACGGCGCACGTGGGCGTGGGCATCGCTGGCGAGGTCGTTGATTGAGATTGCACTTTGTGGCTAATAAAATGGTTGGTGCAGGAAGGCCGACAAGCAGTCAATTCGAGCGACTTTGCCGTGGGGCAGTTTCACTTTCTCGCGAGGTTGGTGCTCGTGCACGGCCGGTGGAACTACACCCGAGTGGCGCACTTGATTGGGTTTACATATTACAAGAACATTGTGTACTGCATGTCCATGTTCTGGTTCATGCTGACGTACTCGGCGTACTCTGGCGCGTTGATCTACGCCGTGTTCATTCAGCAAGGGTACTATATAACGTCATATGAGCAATATATATATAATATCGAGATATTGCATTACTTAGGTACAATCTATTCTTCACGGCACTCCCGATCATTGCATATGCCGTGCTCGACCAAGACGTCCCTGCTAACATTGCGATGGCCCTTCCGCAGCTGTACCACGTCACAGGACGTCGGCTGTTCGATCGACATCAGTACTGAATTCCCTATTTTTTAATCGACTGAATATATTGATTCTTTGCAGATTTTGGACGTGGATATGCCTGGGCGTGGTGGATTCTGTGCTTTTGCTCTACTTTGTGACGCTGTCCAGCGTATTGGTCGACCCATTCAGCGCCACGACGTCACTTCTTACCCTCGGGGACTTGGGCTGGACTGCGCTTTGCTTGTTTATGAATGTAATGTGCTTCGAGCAATGTCTCATCCCATGCTAATTATCATCATGATGGGTAGATCCGCATCATGCTGGTCGTGTCAACTTGGAATAGCTTCCTCCTTGCTTCGATTGGCATCAGCTTGGGCTTTGTCTATGGCCTGCAGATTGCCATCGACGTCTTGTGGCTGCAAGTGCCTACGTGGGAGGCTCCGTACTGGTGGCTTCTGCACTACCCCATGACGTGGCTCGTTCAGCTGCTGGTATCACCATCTCTTGTTGATCAACACAAAAAGGTGTGAGAGATTTCCCTTAGGTACTGGTGGGGATTGTGATCAAAGACGTTTGGTATGCCGCGTATCAGCGGAGGTTCCACCCCACGGTATTGGACTTGGTGCAATCAGCAACTCCAACCCAGGCACGATTTGCCTTCAAGTACATATTTCCTTCATTGACACAGTTTATAGCGAGCCACCACCGGCCGGCCCTCTCTGGAGTCTCTTCAGTCGATTGAGTTTCCCCCTGTCAAGTGGATTCTGCCACATCTGCACAGTCTGCATGACAATATGGAGCCAGACACGTCCGTCCCCACCGAGCGCATGCGACAGGAGGGCAGCCATCACGGGTTTGCCTTTGGCCAACCTGCCAACATCCTTCGATGGCTCTTGCGCAAAGTACCTACCTACCTTTAGCCATGATATATGAAGTTTCCAACTATAATACTATAGAGCAAGCCCCTCTACGCGACGGCACTTCCTCAACCAAGAAGGTGGGACACGACGTTCCTGCAGTTTGTGCTGGCGTCGGCGTCGGATGTGTTTGAGAATGAGCGGTACCAGCCGTTTCTGGGGTTTGGGCACACGTATCCAGGGCACTTGCTGCCGTCGGACAGAGGCCACTGGAGCAACGCGACTGGTTCTGTCTCGACCAACCAGGATATTTCCACGGCCCTCTTGACTCTGGACGAAAATCCCAACGGCGACGACCACGGATGGGAATACGCGTGGGATTTTTCCCAATTTCCCCAACGAACGTGCCATCGCAAGTTGGGTTTGGTGCGGCGGCGGCGGTGGGTCGTGCGAGACGTGGCTGCTGCACCTGCTTCTACTGCGGTGTAGTCTATATGCTACAGTATATAGTCATATACAAAAAGCATACTGTTGTACTTTGTAAACTGCTTTCATTAACGCCATTACTCGAGTATTCATCAACCTAACGGACGCCACTACTACGCTTTCGAATTTCTTCCCAAGTCGTGGGCGGTACGGCCGCCTCCGTGGTTGGCCCAGAAGCCAAGCTATCTGGAGAGGGCTTTTTCGAGGTTGCGGGGAACCCAAACACGTTTTTGGGGGTCTTGGGCTGCGCTTGGCCAGCGGACGAAGGGGATGGAATAGATGGAGGCGAAGATTGGCGGGGAAATGGCTCTATGGCGGGATTCGACGTGGATTCCCACGACATTTGTCGCTGTTCGCTGGCCTTTTCCAGCCTTTTGGACTCCTCCCATGCAGTTCTACATACAAATCATAAAAAACGCAGAGCAAATATATGCGCATACTGGAGTGAATCCGAGTTGCTGCTGAGGTTGCCCATGCGACGATAGGCTTCCTTGAGGATGATGCTCTGTGGCATTTCGCGCTCGATGCTAAGGACGACCCAGCGTTAGTTGAAGAAGTGCATGGAAGAATGCTGGCCATACATGGCTCGAGCGGTCTTGGCAAAGTCGGACTGGTCGTCCGGAAGGCTCAAGATGTCGACAAAGAACTCTTCCCGGATAGACAAGAGGCCATACACCGCGCCGACGAACGCGCCCGATCCTGCGCCACATGAGTTCGCGCGCATGCGGTTAGGACCTTCACGTACCACCGAGGAAAGCACCGGCGAACTTGCTGCTTGATCGCAAGCTTTTCCACGCCCCTAGGCCCAGCACGCCTCCAAACGCGCCTCCCATCAACGCTCGTGTCTTCCCAATGTCATAATGCTTCTGCGCCACGGCCTTCTCGGCAGGGCCGTCCATCATGATCTTCTCCTTCGGGTCCAGTCCCTTGCTCATAGCGCGGATCACGTGCGGCAGCTCCCGGCTGATGGCCGCGCGCTGGCCTTCGTCGCTCATCTTGTTGAGTGGTCAATTTGGGTTTATCCGGATGCAGTTGTTATCCGGTCAATACCGTTGTTCGACGAATATTTTCGACGACAGGTAGCGATGGAGAAGGATGCAGGAGGTGAGGCGAGCGTGGCCGAGCTGCAGGAGCGGCTGGTGACGTTTAATGGGCAGTTGGAAACGATCCAGTTGCTCCTGACGACAGACCCAGACAACGAAGAGCTCGTTGGGATCGCTGCGGACTTGAAGGAAGTGATCAAACTCACACAAGGCATGGTCGACCACCACCTCGCCCCATCATCAGACAGCGGCGGCCACGCTGCCGATGCCACCGCTGCTTTCCCCGTTGGAACATATGTCGAGGTGCTACGCGAAGGCCGATGGCTTCCAGGTACGTCATCGCCCAAGCTCGTCCGTTATTGATGTGCCACGCGTAGGAATTGTGGAGGTCATCACGCGTGTGCCAGGTGGCGGACATACGTTCAACATCCATCTGTTAGGGCTAAACGTCAAGCAGGACGTAGACTTGACGTCCCTTCGATCTATCGACACCGGATCTGTGCCGCCGCTCAGCGAGGAGTTGATTGACGTGGACGGAGCGTGCTTGGTACTCCTCACTCGGATGTTCTTCAAGGAATTATGCATGCTGTTAGGCCAAGTACTATCTCGATGGCAAGTACTACAAAGCGGTCATCAAGTCAGTCACTCCCTACGGTGTGATGGTGCTCTTTGAGGGATACGGCAACACGGAGGAAGTGCCCACGGCCTACCTCCGTCCACTGGAAACCAAGGCGGCGGCGGCAGTTGCAGCCCCCAAGCAAGACGACACGCTGATCGTGATTCCGGCCAATTTGGCCATTTTGCCCACAGATTCCGAGGCCGAGCGCGATCGCAAGCGAAAGCGGTACATCCTGTTGATCTATGTGCCTTGTGAATATCTCATTTTTCATCTTTAGAATTCGAGCGATCAAGTCGTTGAACCGACATAAGGCCATCGACATTGAACGCAACACGAAGCAGAACGACTGGACCAAGTTCAAAGCCAAAGCCAGCAAGAAGCGCGTGGTGGGCGTGATCTCGAACCCGAAGAAGAGCAGCATCTTCGCGTCCCCCGCCACGGTCGACGGCCGCGTCGGCGTCGTGGGCAGCGACCTCAAGATGACGCGCTTCGACGACCCGCGCAAGAAGTTTAAACTCGTCGAACATACTGAAGACGACAACCCGGCGCAGAATTAGAATACGTACCAACGAAGCAATTATAATACATTACGCTATTATAATTCAGTTCTGGTATACCCGACCGAGTTGGTTTGTAACTGGCAATAAGTACAGTCGGTTACACGATCGTCGAAACGTCATACGCTTGAGGGCAAAATGAGCAATCATGAGACCATGGAGCCTCCAAGTCCGCTCCGCTTGATGGAAATGTCGACGGAGAAAATGATGCAGCGGCGGCAGCAGGCGCCGTCTACACGAAGCGTCCAAACGCTCCAAGCAGAACTAGATAGCTGCCTCACTCGAGATGAAAAGGTCAGCTTGGCAAGATGGACACACAAACATAACATCTATTATGTATATACATGTATAGGAGTACGTAGACGATGTGGTCCGGCAGAAAGCAGCGGCCTTTTCTCGTCAAGTGGCCGCCAAGCGGCGACTGCGGGTCGCAACCAAGTCGCCATCGTCACCGTCGGTTGTCATTCCACAGGTACGAGTGAGTCCCAGCATTCTGCGACTAACGCTACATATGGCTCAGGTTGCACTTAGACGGGTACAGTGGAATCAGAAATGTGTCTGAGCCTGATTCGTAACCCAGGCTTCGTCCGCGAGCACGTTGGCGCCCCTACTGTCCCCCAACACCGCCCCGTCCACCCACCATCGCCGCAACTCGTTGGCGTCTCATCCTGACACGTTTGTCCTGCCATCCTATGATTTGTCATCCAGTCCACCCCCGACGCTGGAGTCGGCGGCCGCTGGAGACAACAAGCCGCCGCCGCTCCTTCCGGTTGAATATCCTCCGCATGATGCCAGTCTTCAGTTGGAACACATGCTGACTCGTGAGGTCTACGCCCAAAAGCACCGGCAAGCGATGGAGCATTTCGCCATCAAGGTACAATCTCATTTCGAGGAATCCTGTCCATTCATTCAGGATGCAGCGAAATTCATTTGATTGACCAGTTGGAAGCCGAGGCAGCGGCGTGGAAGCAAAAGTATGCCGAGTCGGTGGTCCTGTCGATGCGGTCGAGTGCGCTGGAGGCTCAAGTGACTGCATTAAAAGCAGCCAATACGCAGGTTAATATGTATTACGAATAGTAATACTATCACGAAATAACTCATGAAATCCTGCTTTCTAGTTGGTGCGCGAAGTGCAAATTGCCCACGGCAAGGTCGATGACGTGACAGCCCAATTGCACAACGTTCAAGTGGCGTTGGACACAACCCAACGACAGACCCAAGCCATGACCATGGACGTGCTGGATCAGACCCGACTGACCAAGTACGTTCAACCATTAATGATACTATCTGATTTGCGAATTTGGCTTAGCAACGAGTTTGAAGAGCGACTGATCCAGGAGCAACTCACGAGCGCCGAGTTGCGGGAAGTGGTGCAGCACTGTATGCGGCAGATGGAGGAATTGTCCTTGAAGGAGCTGATTCCGATGGCCAACATGCCAGCCCCGGTGGATGTGGAACCCGCCAAAGGGCGTCGGAATGGCGGTCGTCGACTTGGGATTCGAAAACGAGGTAAGACACAACATATCCATGGACGCATGTCGGACGATGCGTGTAGATGCGTTGGTGATCCCGCGGGTGCGCGGCACGGACGACTATATGCAAACCTGTCCATGGATGTTCTACCGCAGGCTGTTTAGCCCCCTCAGCAACGAGACGTGGCCGGTCGAGTTCCAAGACCGAGTGTGGCAAAGCCGATCCGACGCGGCAGTGCACCAACGGTGGATGGACGCCGTGGTAGCCACGTGCAGCCTCCCGGACGAGTTGCTCGCATTGTGGACAGCCACGTCCGTCTTGGAGACAACCAACGCGCTGTGGGTGGACAAGCAGCTCGACGACAGCCGACACGGAGCAGCCAAGCTACCGACGCAGAGCCTGCCCATGTTCATGTGGAGCTGGTTCCTCCAAAAGTTCAAAAGCCGGACTGTGGCCGCGGCCCAGTTGTACCTCTTCACGGTGGGGCTCATCGAACACAAGGGTGCCCATGCCCGCGTGGAGGTGATGGCAACCCTCATCGGTCTCTCCGGCGTCAACGTGTACCTGCCTCGGCTGGCCGACTGCCTGCTGACAGTCGTCGGGGCCCTCGTGCCCCTGCCGACGCTCGCCGGCGTCCTCGCCACGTCTCTGGTGAAACCTGCCGTGTTTGACATGGCAACGGTCGAAGAAGCGCTGGCCGAAGCGTTCGTGACCGTCGATCGAGTAAGCAGTGGCCCTCTCAGCGAGTTTCTTCGCAATCATCCGTTCGACCGCATCGTCGTGTCTGCCGAGTCTGCCGACCGAATCGCCGACATATTGGGGGCGGAAGCGACCAAAGCCAGCCACTTGGCGCGGACGACGTATTGGGCAGATGATGACGGCGTCAGCACTTCGCGAAGTGCGTTGAACACGACGCGGACGACGATTTCTACTGTGCGCTCGACAACCACTTATTCGACCAACTTGATGTCGTCCCGTCGCCACCAGAGCCTCCGAGGGAAAACGTGCGTTCACGAGCATGCAAAGTCAGGTGTAATATGGGGTTGGTGGTGGTGGTTAGGGTCCACCTGCAACTTGAAGTGGTGCTACGATTGGTGGTCCATGTATGGCTCCATCAGGCCACGCAAGACTTGGATGCGTTGATGGCTACGATGCAGCACGAAGACTCGTCCGAAGCCCTGGACTTTAAGGAATTTAAAACGGCGGTGAGAACTGTCATTTCTGCGATGGAGAATAATTGTGTGGTGATGGGGTAGTGTTTGACCCATTTCCCCCATGAATTCTCCGACCGCGAAGTCATCGACATGTACGAGACGGTAATGACAAGTGCAAATTGAACCACTTTGACCTTCACCAAACTACTTACACAGGCGGCGGACCACCAAGCGTACTTTAACCAGAAGTCCCAAGTCAAAAACGTCGAGTTGTATTATTTGGTGCGAGTGCTACTGGCGCTAGGGTACTCGCGCCGAACCGCCAGCGATACTTAAGTGAATGACTTTCGAGTCTGGAGTTGAGGCTTGAGTTTTGGCCTGTGGGTCGTGAGTGAGTGGCTAGAAATGAAGTGAACATGAGTGTATCGTACGGGGGTTGGTGGTTAGAAGGAAGGGGGGTAGCCCACAAAGACGCCTGCTTATAGGCTAAAAAGTGCTGCTGGGGCCCCACGATACAACCAGGGCGACACAACCGACACCACGCAATAGCCTCCGTGGCTGTGAACCGATAATGCTAAGAAAACCCATGTCAACAATGTGGTCCCAGTACACGGAAATTCACAGCGCACCTTGATGATGTAGGCCGCAATGACAGTCCCCGTGCGACCGAGTCCCGCCTTGCAGTGCACCGCCACTGCCCCTCGCTCGCGTTCGCAAAGCTACGTCAACTTAGCCAGCACGCCTTAAACAAACGGAATGGTTACGTTCAGAAACGAGTCGAGGATGGAGTCGGCGGGGGTGCTTCCGTCGGGAAAGATTAACTCTACCTGCATACAACTAATGAACGAATATATGTGGTCGAGGCAGTTAAAATGGATGGTGTACATGGTTCAGTCCAGCGTGGACGAATTTCTTTCGATCGTAACATTGCTCGTTCAATCGAACTAATCACACCATGTTATTCCAGCCACCGCCAAGTTGCCCAACCTACCGACACACGAAACCTACGACAGCCACCTCATTATGTACGAATATTAGCTTCGTTACATCTACGTACCCCCATCGTATTGAAAACTTTGGCATAGTCTTGTGCCAGCATCGTCACTTTAGTCGGCGCAAACTCGCGCCTTTCCATGAGCGGGCCACTGGGTGAAACTCGCGTAAACATTCATAAATTGGAGAATTTGTGTAATAACCTAAATGCCAACACTTTTCCAGGCACGATCCACGTCATGTCTCCGTGTTCGAGTTGTGCCAAGTGGTCGTACGCGGCTGCGTCAAACCTACACACGCCAAAGGTAACTGCAAGGCCGTGGAACGTAGCTCACTTGTCAAAGGACCAAAGCTTGGATTGAATCGCCTAGCTCCAAAGGATAAAGTTAGTTTACTGTTAGTACAATATATCGAAGGACCGAGTACTTTTGCGACTGCAGAGGCACAGTCGGATACGGTTATCCCAAACGTGCATAAGCCAAATGCGGCGTCTCGAAAGGGCGGAAGGTGAAGCCTGTCGAATGGACGGCTGGCAGCTTGTGCGCAAACTCCATGGAATAGGACGGAATGAATGGCCAAGAGCGCGGCAGCATTCGCCGTATGGTGTCTGTGGCCTCTAAGTTGCGTCAGAGAATGGAGTAGGCGACCCAGTCGTCAGGTGTGCGTACCTGGTGTAGCATACGACCTTGGCAGATTGGGTGAAAATATTTAGGCGTAGGGAAAATCGATAAGTCTACATCACCACATGCTACGATTCAAGGCGGTGGTGGTAGCAAAGCGTCACATGCCTGGGCGAGATTGAGTGGCCCGAAATCAGCAAAGAAGCGACCATACTGAAGCACTTCGTCGTCCTGGTCACTGCAATCAACCCATACTTCACCTACATCCATCCGAAGTGAGGCATTGCGTATCCATCGGTGGTATAACGCATTAGGTACCGTGTTTCGAAGCCAACGGAGCTCCGTCGTCAAGGACTGCGAAGTCAATACCTTTACGTACGTGGACTTGATGAAACACAGAGCGACATGACAGACGAGAGGTACCGTCGACGACGGGAAAGCGTATCATTTCGGCAAGGCGAATCACTGACAGTTACGCTTGTAACTGCCAGTCGTTTCACAAGTCATATCCCTGAAAAAGAATGCTGCGGCCGTCGTTTGACGAGGCTGTGACAACCAAGGCGTACGATATGATAGTGCAGCATATTCGCGACCACTGGGACGACCGACATGTGATTGTGGAAGGACTGATGGCAGTCCAACAGTGCATCGATCGAAAAGGTCATTCCAATTTGGCCAAGTTGAACGGGGGGTGACGTCTGAAGTAGGCGGTGAAAGTGACGCCAAATGCTTGGGTGTGTCTGGGGCGTGCGATGTGGTGCTGGACGTCATGGCGGCCAATATGCAAAGCGAGGAAATTCAGTTCTACGGCACCCAGGCCTTTCGTTTCTTAGCAACGTCGTCCAGAAACGTCCTGCGCTTCGAAGCGAAAAGAGGGCTCAACCAGCTCACGCAGTCCTTGGTGCGTTTTTACTATGTTTTGATCGGTGAAGTCACTTATCCGTAGGTGTATTACGTGGCAGTGCCTCGAGTGGTTCGGGAAGTGCTTTGGGCATTGGCAACCCTGTTGGGGGCAAGCGAACCATCTGGACTTGCCTTTCTCGAGGCAATGGACGGGACGCTACTGGTCCTTAAGACGCTTCACCGACATACCGACAACTTGGACATTCAACTGCATGGTTGCCAGAGTCTGTTGTCCATGGCCACACGTTTCAAATCGCGGTTTCGGGAGGTATCAGAATCAGAATATCGAGCTTGTCTGATTCGTATCAGGACGCAATCGCGAGTACCGGGGCGCTCATGAAAGGGCTCCTCGTGCGACAGAGTTTGCCCCGGTCGCTGGTGGTGGTTTGTTTGAAATGCGTCACCGCCATCGCCGACAAAGGTTCGTACATGCGACATTCTATGTGTTGTCCATGCTTAACGATATGAACGTCACTGCAGACTCGGCCACTGGCTTGTTTGCCGATGGTTCGTGGTTTCGGTTCGTGTTTATCACGTACATTGACGACGAAATCGTCGTGTTGGAGGTGGTCCATCTGTATATATTGCTGTGCCACATTGCCCCAACCGTTGCCTTGACGGTATGTTGTTCAACGTTGGCTTCAATGGTTGGTGGTATGCCATGATGGCAATTGTAGCTGTCTAGTGGCGGCGGCCTTGATTGCCTCCACGAAGCCCTGGTGACATATCACAATCACCGACATGAGGCCACCGTGTACGAACTGCTTCGGCTGGTGCGCCACGTGTTTGCTCTGTCTGCGACCCACCAAGACGTGGTTCGAGTGGCTCTTTCGTGTCAGACGACCTACACGACGCACGCGCGCCTGCAAATCGAAGTGTGCTGCATCGTCAGGTTGGCGCTGCCGTGGACGCCGGGGTCGCTCTGGACTACTCAAATTGAAGTGTTGAATCAGCTGATGCAATTGCACCAAACTGACGCCATTCTCCGCCGCGAAGGTCAATACACGAAGACGGCAGTGGGTTTGTTAGGTTAAAGGGAAAAACTATGGATGTCGTCTAACTGGTTCAAGTCCTTCATGTCGACCCGTTTATTGGACGCGGTGAAGATCTGAATGTCGCTGAGCCGAAGGCGATCCACCGGCATATCTGCGACATCGTTGTCGTTCATGCATGAGTGTTTTGACTTGGAAAGTGTAGGGTCCTCCATGCGATGGTGGTTCGAGTGCCCGTGTCGCCTCCACTTGTCTTGGGCGGGCGAAGTCTGGCCGTAGCTCCCTCTTTTGTTGTTGTCGTCCAGTGATTCATCGCTGACGGTGGACGTGGACGTACTCTATGTGGAGTGTCATGACTCTGATTCTTCCCAGTCTGGATAATGATATATATATGTATATATTGCGAATTTTTTTTTGCTATGAACTTCCAAAATTCGCGTATCAATATTGTATCACGCTGGAGTTCTGATTGGTTGAATACACTTGTTCTTTCTGTCCGAGCCAATCAAATCCACTCAAAATTGGATATTAGCCAATAACGTTGATTCGCGATTCGATTCGGCGGCGAGGTTCGATTCGACAGGGTCTGGAAATTTGTACCGAATCCATAATATATATATATTGTTTATTCCCAACTCGACCGACATGGAGAAAATATGAAGCGACAAGCGACTCAACCAAATAAATGTCCAGAAGTCTTCGAGCCAATTAAAATGCAGGCAACCAATATCAAATTTCCAAGTAGAGTGTGACTTCAAATGAGTGCGATTACAATCGCGACAACTTTTGACATACAAATTCACAGTCCAATGAATCGGTTGATAGAAGAGGCATAATATCTGCACACAAGAAGCCACGTTTTGGATAGGGGAAAGAATAAAATAGGGGTCAGTCGTACCAAGAGGCCGTCTAACTTTGCTTGCAACGCGGCAATGTCATGTGGGTTGAGTTTTGCAATGGACGACGTGGAAAACGCTGGAACGCCGTCGCCGGGGTGCTTGCTTCGCAGGGCAGCAAGCTCTACCTGCGACGCGCGCAGGTCCTCGCGCAACGTCGATCGTTCGTTCGAACCTCGCTGGGAATCAGAATATCAGACACGGATCAGAATCAGACCGTGGACGGTCGTACCGGTCGCGCGCCGCCCAACGAGCAATCGTGCAGGTGTTTCATTTGTCGTTTGAGTTGGTTTCGGCGTTCCAGGGCTTGTTTGGCGGCGGCGGTGTGGCCGCGGCTGGACTCGCGCACCACATCCGCCACCGCCACATGCAAGTGCCGTCGGAGTTGTTCCATGCGGTCGTCGCCCCCTTTCGATGCATCGCGGTCATTGGGAACGTTGGGCCGACTAACAAACACGGCTGTATGACGTGGCAGCGTGTCGTCGTCCCCTAGAATTGTCTTTCAAATGAGCTAACGATCGAACGGTGTACAACCGTTCAATACATACAAAAAGAGTCGTCGTCAGTGGCAGACGGCTGCTGGGACGGCGACTCCAGCTGTACCAAGTGGTCTAATCGATGAAGGGCTGTGTCAGACACCGCTGGGGGATGAGGCGGCAGAGTATACAGGTTCAAGTCGCCTTCGTCACTACATACAGTACGAACGTGACGAGGGGCGAGTGACCAACACTCATCCTACCCCAGAATGGGAATGTTGGTGTCGACGCTGCTCCAGGGATTACTACTACTGTGGTTGTGAGATGTTGTTGACGCCGGCGTCGTGGGACCCGGGAACCGGTGGTGCATCTGGGAGCGAAGTTGAACGGATGACGACGATGACGACGACGACGCCGGGGACGACCCGATGGTCGTGGACGGCGGCTGGATGAACTTGATGCTCGGGCCATCGGGGTTCCACTTGACCAGGCACGGGATGCAGAAGACGGTGGTGGGCGTGCCCGCGGACTCTGAGAAGTCGACTGTGCACGCGTTACATAGCACGGCGCTGCACATCATGCACTGGCGTCTGTCATGCTTGCGGGGACGGAAGTGGAATTTGAACGGCGCGTCGCACGATTCGCACTGCCGGCGGGCCCTCGTCGACACTGGCGCCGTCTGCCGCCGGAGCCGCGGGGCCCCCACACGGCGGAGCTTGGCGCAGAGCAGATACTTGTTGAGTTCGCCCATCCAATGTAGCCACGCCGCGAGGGTGGCCGACCTCGGGAGTTTACTGCGCACGTCCGTGCCCTTGAAGTCGACCTTGAACACAGACATGACATCGATGATGCCAGGAGTGGACGAGTTTTCCAATAGCACAAAGCCGGAGCGGTAGATGCCGCCGCGGACGAACCGGTACGCTGAGTGGATGGACGTCTCGAAGGATGGCGGGGCGCCGGGAAAGTCGAGCGAGTGCAGCGAGATGACAACGCCTCGGGTTTCCACGTCTTGGAAGCGTTCACACGACTACAAGATGTATGAGACCTGAAGTTGATATTGTGATATTGTACATGCAACACGACAAAGTCGCGATGGGTCATGCCGTCCGCGCATTGCACTGCCATCCATTTTACGGATGTCCTTCCGTCCACTCGAAGAAGCGTCTGGCTGCCAAGAATGTCGTCAACGAACGTCTTGGGCCCGCGACGAGTCATGTCTGGTAGAGTCTGCGGGATGAACAATGCATCGGCCACTTCCGACAGAGTGCCGTACACACCCGCGACACCACACACGCTGATCACGTTGTCGTCAGTTCCGCTGTTCTTGTCTTTGATGTGAAACAGCTCCATATTGTTGTCCGCTTCCATGACGTCCCATGTCGGCTTGGCGGTGGCCAGCGAGTACGCCATCCGCTTCAAGAATAGCCGCGATTGTTCGGCGATGCCCTGGAGTTGCACTCGCTCCGTACTCGACGGAAACGAGGACGAAATGGAAGGCAGCCTTGGCATCCTAATGGGGTCCATTCCACGTCTATGGCCACCGGTGCCGCCGTCGCGTGCCAGGTTCATTTGCTCGAATATGGCTACCATAGGCAAACACCCAAACATTCGGATTGTACCATGGTACGTGCATTCGTACGTTTTGATACATACAATATATTATTGTTGTAATGTACGCTTATGTACGTACGTACGAGAAAGTACCTACAAATTATCTGAGTATTTACACCGTGGCAAATGCAAAATAACTAACCGTTTCAAAAGTATGAACGTTACTCCGGCGTATCTCATAAGCGCGTTTTGATAGGAAAATCACGCACAAAAACATTTATATTCACTAACATTAGAATGTTAATGTGAGTACAGTACAGGTGGAAAACCACAACATCAGAGTATTTCAAGAGGTGAGCCACGACATCGAAGTAATTCAAAAGGTGAGCTATTTAGGCTCTGAAACGAATGCTAAAACGATGTAACCTAGGGGAGTTAATGATAACCGTTAAGAAAATCTGCAGCACGCGGTAACCCTAACTTACAGTTAGTTTCAGATCCTAGTATTACTGTAGAACTAGCTTACGATTAGGCTGCTAAACCAGCTATCATGTTATATCCTAAGATTGTTGTTTGAACAAGATACCGTACGCAGTACCTCTCTGAAACACAGGACGTCGAAGTAGTAGCACAGGGCTATCCAATAGATGTGAGAACTGACAGAATGAACTCCGACGAATTCCCAATACACAGGCTACCTTCCGAAATACTCGCCACACAGATGAAACAGGGAGCTATTTGGGTATTTGCCTCAAGCTTCCGACTATGTGAATAAAAATATGCCATGGAGATGATTAAAAACGGGTTTCAAATACATGATAAACTCATTAAAAACAGGTTTTAGGTTATAAAACGGATATAAACATTAGAAAAAGGGTAAAAACGTCTAAAAACTACTAGTAAATAGCAGCCAAAAAACCTAATATTCATGTAATACCCTTTTAACGCATGTTTTATTTGTTCCAAAGAGCTTTAAACGTGTTTGGTACCCATTTACTACCTAATTATCCATTACTACGTAGTACTCCCTCAGTCCCACAATAATGATTCGACTTTGGGGATGGTGTACATGTCTTGTCATTATACTCCGGAGTATTTGTAGGTAAAACTCAAATTTATCTGCACCCCGCCCCAGAGCGGATTAAATAGTTCTGATTGGACTACGAGAGCGCGCCAAGAGCTCTAACATGATGTACTTACTTACTGTACATGGACCGCGAAAAATCGTACCAAACGGTACAGAGAACCCCGGAAAAGTCCGACCCCCCCAAAGTATCCGACCACCTGTCTAAATTGATGTAATTTTATTCATCGACGACGCACCTTTGAAATTGAATTTATCCATCACAAGCCAATCACAAAGTAGTATTAATGAAAGTTTATGATTGGCCTATTCAAATTCAAAATTTGAAACGCTTCACTTGACATCATGCCGACGCGACACCGCAAGAAGTCATACTCCATCCACGAAAAGCGAAAGCTCATGGCTATGTTCGAAACCACTGCAACGAGCCATCGCAAGTTCTGTGCGGAGCATGGAATACCTCGAAGTACGTGGATCGACTGGCAAAAGCGCCGCACAGAACTTGCGACGACTCGACGCAACGCCAAGCGCCCAATGTTGGGTGGACAAGGCGCCAAGACCATCTTCCCGTTCAAGTACGAGCTCCTTGCCTTCATGAAGGATGTTCGGCGTGAGGAACATATTCTTACGTCGATGCATATGGTAACCTTCATGAAGCGCAACCACGGGGAATGGTTGGCGTCGTACCGAACAGGCAAGCGCGACGCGTACAAGTCCCTCTTGAAGCTCTGTCAGGAGTTTG